CTACAATGAGCTACAGTGACCTACAATGAGGTACAATGAGCTACAATGAGCTACAATGGCCTACAATGAGCTAGAATGGCCTACAGTGACCTACAATGAGCTAAATGGCCTACAATGAGCTACAATGGCCTACAGTGACCTACAATGAGCTACAATGAGCTACAGTGACCTACAATGAGGTACAATGAGCTACAATGAGCTACAATGGCCTACAATGAGCTAGAATGGCCTACAGTGACCTACAATGAGCTAAATGGCCTACAATGAGCTACAATGGCCTACAGTGACCTACAATGAGCTACAATGACCTACAATGAGCTACAATGGCCTACAATGAGCTACAATGAGGTACAATGGCCTACAATGAGCTACAATGAGGTACAATGACCTACAATGAGCTACAATGAGGTACAATGAGCTACAATGACCAACAATGAGGTACAATGACCAACAATGAGGTACAATGACCTACAATGAGCTACAGTGACCTACAATGAGCTACAGTGACCTACAATGAGGTACAATGACCTACAATGAGCTAAAATGGCCTACAATGAGCTACAATGACCAACAATGAGGTAGAATGACCTACAATGAGCTACAGTGACCTACAATGAGGTAGAATGACCTACAATGAGCTACAATGAGGTACAATGAGCTACAGTGACCTACAATGAGCTACAATGACCTACAATGACCCACAATGAGGTACAATGACCAACAATGAAGTACAATGACCTACAATGAGCTACAGTGATCTGCAATGAGCTACAATGAGGTACAATGAGCTTTAATGACCAACAGTGAGGTACAATGACCTACAATGAGCTACAGTGACCTACAATGAGGTACAGTGAGTTACCATGGGAACAAGGAATGACCTACAATGACCTACATTGATCTACAATGAACTACAATGACCTGCAACGACCTACGATGAGCTAGTGAAATTTCCCTGTAATGAATTTAATGAAGATTTTAGAAAAAAGGCAAAAAATGAAAAAAAGAAAAAAAAAAAAGGACACGTGTGCATTAACGTAATGGGTTTCCTTTTTGTCTACTGAGTAACAAGCCAAATGATGACAGAATTTCTAGCTTGGAGATAAATTTACCGTGTGTTATAATGAGACATGTATAATGACGATAATGATAAAAAAAAATGCGAAAAACCTTTGGCTTAAGATGTCTTTGAGGGTCTTGTATAACAAGCCTCCCATAATTTAACACTATCATGAGGTTAAGAGTCGTATTTGGCCTGTCAACACCTTTTACTCATTGATAGTTTCAGATCAAAACCATTAATAAAGTCACCTATCACAGCGCTGCGAGAATGTATGAGACGTATTTGGCCTGTCAACACCTTTAACTCATTGATAGTTTTAGACAGCAAAACAAAAAGGTCATCACACCATCATCAGGCTATGTCAGTCTGGAATGGAGAACACAATATCAGGGTCCTTTCCAGACCATACAAAATTAACGAGTTTTGACATATCCTATTTGAATTAACAGACATAATAGGACAGAAAGATGACAAACAGTTTACAGAGTTGCTTAATAGTCTGAGAGAAGGAAAGCATTCTGGATATAGACTGTTTAAAGGAAAGGCTTTTGCACACAGGCCCTGGAAGTCAAAATTACCCAATGGAAACAAACCATTTGTTTACTACAAATGCATCAGTATATGCACACAACAACAGCATGTATGCTAACTGTGAAAGTGATAAATGCCAAGTAAAGGCAATAGACATTAATTGTAGTAGGAGATATTTCTGGTGAACTTAAGAAACAAATGAAGGACAAAATACCAAATGATCCAACAAAAACAATGGGTTTATACTCACTTCCTCAATAGCTACCAATGCAAAGTATGAGTTAACAACAAATGTTGATGTAACAGATGATTTAACAAATGGTGCAGAATGTGTCATTAAAAACATTGACTACAGGGTGGAAAACTCTAGTAGACCAAGTATTATATGGGTATTATTTGCAGATGCTGACAAAGGTAAAAAACA